ATTCGTCAGTGTTAAAGTGAAAATCTTCCTCTTTGTTTGCCTCTCTCTCTCTCTCTCTCTTTCTTTCTGTGTGTGTGTTTGTGAGTGTGTGTGTGTGTGTGTGTGCACGCGCGCACGTGTCCTATCAATATTAAAACAATATTCTCTCTCTCTGTTCTTATAATATTAAGACATAAATCCCTCTCTCTTTCCCTCTCTCTCTCTCTCTCTATCTCGCTCTCTCTGATCTTTGTCGTTTACGCCGTCACACATCTGCACCAACAGTAAGCGCGTATGTCCCTGACTGTATGATCTCCCTATGTCTCCACTTCCTGCCAGGCTTGTTCCAGTTCAATATCTGGCAGTACGGAAAATGGATGGCCATCCTTGTCGACGACTACCTGCCCGTGTTGGACGGTCACTGGGCTTTCTGTCCCCCTCTTGGATGGCCTGGAGAGTTCTGGGGACCACTGATAGAAAAGGCATATGCAAAGTAAGTCCAGTTATATTAATGTTCAGGATTTATTGTTCTCTCTCTGCAATACATACAATATATATTGAATGCATACGTGGAAATACAATATGTACCAAAATGTATTTAGATTCCAGGCCCATAGCCAGGGGGCGGGGGGGGGGGGTCGAAAGGACCGCCGAGAAATGGTCTCTTTTGGGTAAAATTCTATCTACATGTACGTACACGAAGGTTTCATAGTAAAAAGTCCAATTTTTCAGAAAAAGAACCCCCTTTTGAAATTGCCGGATTTGGACCTGGATTCAATCACTTATAAGAAACCTTTAAATTGAATACTAAAGAAAATGATAATAAAATATAGACCTACAGTGTACGTCATTGTGTAAAAAGCTAAAATTTTCATATATAGACAATATTAGTATAAGCAGTATGACATAATGGTGTTTCTACAGATCATCATTTAGCCCGACATTTAGTTAAAACATAACTGCAATGGTTCCTGAGGTCCCTTTTATTGATGCGGGTATTTGTCAAAAGATTATTTAATCTATGATCAGTTAATTGGTATCATCTTGATAGCCGCACTCGCTCAAAATTTTTAAAAAATTCCAGTTGTTAACAAGATTTCGACATCCTGTACTGCTGACGTCATTTCAGCATCTGTTTGGTAAATATTATTGTTTTTTAAGTTTTAATGGAAATGTGCTAAGTGGCGATAGGTCTGTTTAAAGTAAACAGTATTTAATTTGTCCGGTATTATAGGCCCCATTCAGAATGAATGATCCGAGTACTTACTGATCCGCCGACAAAATATGGCCGACCACAGTTCAAAAGCGATAACGCTGATTACTGATAGTCTCCCCAACTCCACACGCGCCTTTTAACGGATTGAATCTCTGCCCTGAGGTTTAATTGCTAGGCCCCTGCAACGACGGCGCATGTAGAGGCGGGGAGACCATCAGAAATCAGTGGCATCGCTTTTGAACTGTGGTCGGCCATATTTTGTCGGCGGATCAGTAAGTGCTGGGAACATTCATTCTAAATGGCCCCATATATAGATTTCACTTATGATTTGGCAATATTCAGCCACGCTCATGTTATTGCACAGTTCCCGCATTTGAGGCTGTTTTGATCTCTGTTCTCCACCTCGGGGGTATTTTAATTCTCAGGACAGGCTGCTTTGGTTATTTTCGACCCTCAATCCACGTCATTTATCGCGCTTCTTTAACATAAAGGACCGACTTTGTGAAATTTTAACTACATTGGGAAGGTATTTGTTTGCCTAGCCATCATTTTGAGGACGGAGATCAACGTGGAGCTTTAATAATTAACTACTACGACAGTGATGATGTTCCAGGGCGACAGATTGATTTTTCACAGATCTTAACAGATAAGTCTCTAGATAAATAGATGGTCATTTGGCTCTGTGTCACCCTCTAATGAAATCTCATGGTTGGTAATTGTTTGCATGACTTCTCAAGCACTGCCACTTGACAGGTCCAAGCTTAGTCCTCTTGACAGCAATCAAGACAGTTAATTACTCTGGTCTTAATCACTTGCTCTTCTGTGACAGATAAAATAGCTTCTGTGACAGATAAAATACTTCAGATTGAGGTTAACTGAGGAATCTCCTGTAGTAGCTCCCTACAGAGCGGGAACAATGCATCCGTGCGAGCGCAGATTTAATTGCTTCTATCTGGCCAAAAGTCACAGGGTGGCTTTTTTCCATTTTTTCCCATATAATCTGCCACCCTGGTAGAGGGTAGTGATGATGTAGGCTTGAAGGACGTCGACACAGCCAGAAATCGTGAAAAGGAAATGACTTTTTCATGGTTATTTCTATGATAATAACAGTAGATGCTATATACCATACCGGTTGTTATCATGGGCCTGATATGTTAGGTGATTTACATGACCAATTTTGATTGCGTGTGAGAAATTTAAATTTATATCAGGCGTGGATCCGAGAGAAAAACGTTCATGCCTTGCCTTTGACTCGTTTTAATTAACTTAAGTAAAAAATAAAAGAAATTCAAGAAAAGAAGAAAGAGTAAGAGAGGGCACTTGTGCGTAATAAAGAAGAAAGAGACAATTCTTCATGCCATTTCCATTCTAAGCCAGATGGAGGTACAGTAACGGATACAAACCGCTCCCCAGGATTTGTCCCAGTACTTTTTTTCTCCCATTTTTCTTGCAGGTGCCACAAAGCTTATGAAGTGATAGAATCGGGAGACCCTTTAGATGCCTTAACAGATTTAACCGGCGCTATATGTGAACACTTCATGACGTCAGAACCGCCGGAAGTACTCTTCAATATCCTCCTGACGTCACATGAACACAAGTCCGTGACGTCATGTTACAGGAAGTCTGAAACGCAGGTAAGGGAGACAGTAAATCGAAAAAAGGGCATTTTTGCTTTGTATTTACTTGTAATGTTAAACCACTTTTGATGGCCTGTCGTCGGTGTAATGGAACTGAGGGTCCACGTAACTACAGAAAGTCCGCCCTCCATTTACTTATAATGGTTAGGGTTAGCCTGACCGAAGTGGGTCAAAATCTAGGGCTAGGCTTACCTGTACAAATGAATGGGAAGCGGACTCTCTACCATTGGGGACTAATTGGTGACAGAGATTCCCCCATGCTATTCCCCCATGTAGTTCAGTAGTTATAGAGCCACTTGGGCTCTGCCTAATATATTTTGCATTTTTCTTACAAGTAGACACGTCATATCACTATTTAATATTGTACATATTTATTTATAATAACATTCTTATTGTAAATTTTCATCCAACCATGTAGATGCATACGATATAATGAATAGTGTATAAAGTGACATGTAACAGCAGCATGTTTTAGGGTAAAACTGCAATATTAATTTCAGGCAGATCTGCCTCATTGGAAAAGCTATATGTATCATGACCCTCTACCAGGGCCACTTTTCAAAGGATATTCAAAGATATGTCTTTAGATAAACAGACGGCCATTTTACTATCTCTGGCTTTTTTGCTTTTTCCCTATAATATCTGCCACCCTGGTAGAGGGTTATGTATCAGAACTATTTTATTGCCTTTTCAATCACGGCAATAAGTGCTACAATCTGGTGCCAGGAAATCTTCTTGAATTATAGTTCTTTTTCAGTATCGGATATATGTACAGTCCTCCTCTTAGTTAGGGAACTTACTGGTGTAAAAAAAAAAACGTGTCATAATACAGGGGTAAAATTCCAGTATGTACCCTACGTTTGGTCTCAAGGCCCTTTGCACTAATATCCATTCTTTCCAATTGCAAAACAACTTTAATATGTGAAATGTCCTTGTTGTTTATCCAGGTGGTGACGTCAAAAGACGAAGGCCAATTAGCATTCAATTGCCCTTGCTTAAGGATAAATAAAATTTTCTAGGAAAGAAAATTTTCCAGCCCAAAATAAATTGTTTCCTTACCGGGTTGATTTGTTGAACACGGCCAGTCTGTCGTTAAGGAAAATGTGGAATGTGGAAAATTTTGAGTCGTATAAAATTTCGCAATACCTTAGGCCTAAGCATCGAGCCAACATTACAACTATATTGGAAAGCAAAATTTGATATAAAAGTTTGAACAAAATGTCCAGCAATATCGGCTGTGAATTCATTTAGTTCCGTCATCATTAAAATATATAATTTTACACCAGTGCAGGGATAAATGCCAATAAAAATAATAGTTAACATTTTAATAACAGCTCTTAAAATTGTGATTCCTCACCATGAATTTGTTTGATTGGCGCACGTTATGATTTCCCTTATCCGTTTATATCATGTAATGCGGAAATGTACATTGTCATTTTGTGAGTTCATGGAGTTTCATCAGCAAAAACATCAGGATGAATTTGCAACATCGAGCGACGACGTACCACTAGTGTTTTGGGGTTAGACCTGTTAAAACGATTTCAGACAAACCCCCCTTGGGTCAACGCCTATTTAAATAGTTGGAATTGGTACCAGAAAGATTTCCTGAAAATATTACTTCTGGTTTTATCAGCGAAGAGGCAAAATAACGCTTTTATTTAATAGAACTTCGTAATTTTGGGCTCATATCTCCTAAAAAGATTTGAAACCAAACGCTGGCACCACACTGTAGATCACTTTTAGAAGCAGCGTTACGTTGGATGTTGATCGTAATCTCACTCCAGTTTCCAAATCAGCTAAACTGACGATAAACGCTTGGTCACCCTGTGTGCACAAGCGCAAGCATGGCGTGTTCTTCGTGGTAAATTTTTGCTGCAAAAGCGTAAATTTTTTCATACCATTTCCGATTTTGTCTTCTCAAAGACTGCAACTATCGGCAAAGATTGATTCCCCCCTAATTAAATCGAAACGTGCTAATACAAGGCGCACACACCTAGCAATCAGATTTCTGATTCAGTGGAATCTCTCCGAAAACCTTATATGTGGCAGCATGGGGTATAGCGTGACATTTGCTTCCAAGAAATAATACGTGCTCCAATAAAGCCTTTGTTCATGGAATATAATATGTGTGTCATTTGATACTTTGAAAAACATCGACAAAACAGTGTCACTTTTTTTTTTGCCCCGTAATAATATTCGGTTTCCACCTTATTCCGATTTCATTTATATTTTCTGGGCCGAAGCCATTTCAGGGGCATGGTTAAAACTGCATCACTTTCTTGTTCTATATAGATAGCTACATAGCGTAGTGACAAGGACTTTTTCATTACACAAAATAATCAATACTCCTGCTGTTCACGGCAACCATTAGCCAATTAAGGTGCGCATAGTAATCTTCTAGTAGTTTTGTCACCTACCACATAAGAGGCTCGGTTATTTCCAAAGCCAAAGCTTCTTGTAGGTATTAAGGGACGCCATATAACCGAGTTGGAAGCTCGCAAAACTCACCTACAAATATTAAAACATCATTGTCTGGTGTGTGCGGGTTGCCGGTGTGTATGGATTCGGTTCTCGGCTGGGTCACATTCAGAAAATAATAATAATTCAACTTCTAAGTATTCTATTTATCTGTTTGTTTGTTTGTTTGTCTGTCCATTCATTCATTTATTTATTTATTTAACTGCAGTATAGTGTATTTATCCATGCATTTATTATTTATTATCTGTCCATTCATAAATTCATTTATTTATTTATTTATGTAACTGCAATATTTATCCATTCATTTGTTTATTTTTGTTTATCCATTCATTTGAAATTATTTTTTTCATTTCATTTCAGTCAGATAAATCCAGCAACAATAAGAATAGCCAGTATTTATACTTGGTCTGTGGTGTGACATCGGTGAGTAAGGGCGCATTCCCATAGATATTTAGATCGATCTATCCCCGTGGGGAGTCTCACTAGATTACTGTCAAATAATCCGGCTTAAATGTCTGCCCCCCCTACTACAAGCTGTAAGGGGGTAATTAACTTTCGTGCCCGCTCGGCTGACAGCTATTTAGCGTGAACCCCCAGGGAGTTAGGTCGGTCTAGTTGGATCGATCTAATCTCTGGGAATGGGGTCATATACAACAAAACCGAGGGTCACTTTCTTTTTAAGCATGCGTTCACAACAGATCTATCGCACTAGCTGCTGCACGCTAACTATACGTGGAGACTCTCGCTGAGTGCAATCGGGTTAAAAGACTAACACGCCTCCTCCTGGCGATGAGTACAATATAGAAAAGCTGGTGATTATACGAGTACACTGGAAAGAAGAGGAGGCGTGTTTTATGTGTTAAGCTATCAGCGAGATCCCCCGTGGAGTTGGTGCGCAGAAGCAACTACGATAGATCCTTTGTGAATGCACCATAAGACCGCGTTCTCCATAAACCCATCGTACTAGCGGGATAGATCTACACGTAACTCTGCGGGGATTCTCGCTTAAGTATTTTCAGTGAAATCAGCTTAATTGTCTGGCATGCCTCTTTGACTAACTAGGGGGTAATTAATTGTCGTTAATTACCCCCTAGCAGCTTGAGCAGGCGTGCTAGACATTTAAGCCGCTTACACTGATTTTTTTTTTTACTTTTTTATTCCTTAATCATTTCTCACTTTAACTCTTAAATGTAATTCTTATTATCTTTGTAATACACTATGTTATTTAACGTTTCATTTCCACATCTCAAACTTGGTGATTTATAATTATCATTACTTTTGTTATTTGATTTTTAAATCTTTTAAGAGGTCAACCAAATTCCAATTTCTGACGTATTTATTTATATGTTATTATACTTAT